AAAAGAAGAACATGAAGAATAGGGCCGGGGATTTAGCTCAGTGGTTTTGCCGCCTGCTGTGCAAGTGCAAGGACCTGAGTTCAATCCCTGGTACCAAAAAAAAAAATCCAAATCCAAAGCTGGTACAAGGAAGAAAATTAAAAAGATCAGAGTAGAAATTAATGAAAAGCCATTTTGATACACCTATTGGCAACATCATATTAAATGGGGAAAAGGTGAAAGCTTTCCCTCTAAAATGAGGAACCAGACAAGGATGTCTACACCACCACTCCTGTTCAATGTAGTACTCAAAACATTTAGCTAGAAGGGCTGGGGATTTAGCTCAGTGGTTTCACTGCCTGCTGCGTAAGTGCAAGGACCAGAGTTCTATCCCCAGTACCAAAACAAAACAAAACAAAACAAAAAAAACATTAGCTAAAGCAATCAGGCGAGATGAAGAAATAAAAGATACATATATAAAGGAAGAAGTCAAATCTTCATTATTTGCAGATGACAAAATCCTCTACATAGAAGACTCCAAAAGATTCCCTAGAATTAACACATTTACAATAGGGCCATAATGTGTACGTTTCGTGGCTGGGTGGGTGGCTTGAACTACTGGAGGTACATGTATGACTATCCCATTGGGCGACTTTTTATTAATTTTATTAGTAAAAAGACTGATAAAAGTGAATAGATCCATTTGTATCACCAGTGGTTCAAGCCGCCTGATGAGACAGTCATGCATGTAGCACCAGTGGTTCAAGCTGGCAGGAACCAAACTGGGCAAGACAGGAGGATACAAAATCAACACACAAAAAATCAATAGCATTCTTATATAACAATAATGAACTCACCAAGAATGAAACTAGGAAAACAGTATCACTTATAATAGTAAGTGATAATAGGGGATTGAATCCAGGGCTTCATATATGCTAGGCAAATACTCTACTAAAGGAGAATTTTTTGATCCAAATACAGTTTGACAAGTCAGGAAGCCTCTGATGGGATCCAGGTTAGAGAGTACTGTAGTATATCAAACACACATAACTTTTTCTAGGTAGAGAATAATTTTTTAAAAAAGTAATCTAGGTCCAATGTTTCATCCACTTTGGGTGTAAAGGCTTCTAAATTTACTTACTGTACTATCCAATTAAAATCTCTTCAGAATTAAGCAATCATTTCCTGATTTGCCAAGGATTAAATTTAGATTCTTATCTCTGAAGCCATCACTTTTATTTTTTTCGTACCAGGGATTGAACTCGGGTCCTTGTGCTTGTGAGGCAGGTGGCGGAACCACTGAGCTAAAGCCCCGGCCCAAGCCATCACTTTTAAATGGCAGCATGCAAATGGATAACATAAGAGTATTAGTTGACATCACAGTCTACTGCTATGGAAGTATGTCTGTACTAAGTTTGTCTCAAAGCAAGTTTTAGGGGTACAGGGATACTGAAAGGGAAGCAGGAAATAAATTATGTAAAAAATATGTCCTCTAAATGTTGAAGGGTCTTAGGAGCTCAGACCTTCAGTGATCTCATACTGTCTCATGGCTTTAAATATTATCCATACACTGATGACTCCCAGATTTATATCCAGGCCGGTCCTTTCCTCTGAACTCCAAACTCACACATCTGTCTCCTTGACCTCTTCAACAGGATGTCTAATAGGTACCTTAACCTTCACATTTACCCTGAATTCCTCAACCAGTCCTATCCCCATCCAACTGTCTTTGTTCACATGATCTTCTGGATCTCAGCATCCCTTTCTGGTTGTAGAGGCTGTAGAATCTGAAGTAATCCTTGACTTAACTCTTACTTCTCATTAGATCCTGTCATCTCTATCTTAAAAATATACTAATGAAAAGATGCTCATTTTGCTCCATTTGCAGTACTTTCAAGCTACCAGCATCTGAATTTGTCTCCCCACTTCTGCTCTTGCTTTCATTCTATTCTCATATGGCCTCAGAGTGATCCTATTGTGATCTAAGTCAGATGATACTCAGTTTAAACCCTCCAGCGGATTTTCATCTCATCCAGAGTATGACCCAATGCCCCCTAATCAGTGATTACCTGCCTACCCCTTCTTCTTCAGGCATGTTTGACTTCACTGAACAAGGCCTTTGCATATGATAGTCCCTCTGCCTGGAGTTCTCTTTCCTTAGGTATATGTATGGGCTGCTTCCTTTTATCTTTAAGTCTTTACTCAAATTACCTTCTCAGTAAGACTTTCTGTGGCTAATGATCTAAACTTAGTACTCACATCCTCCTTTCATGCTTTATTTGTCCCTGTCGTATTTAACATACCATATATTTTGCTTATTTTTACTGCTACTGTCTCTCTCCATGAGGCATATATATTTGTCTGTGCATCCTTTCTACTTAGAGAAGTCCCTGGCACACAGTATGAAATTAAAAATTAGCTGAATGACTAACTAAAAAATAGATATCATAAGAAATAAGGACTACTGAGCATAATTAGTCAAGGTCTATGAACCCAAGATCTAAAAAGGTTCAGCATATGTCATGGGTTTTCATCAAGATGTCTTTTTGATGTTATTTCCTAAAAAACAGGTTTGATTTTTCTTATCTTTAAAACATGAAACTTTAGAGGTGAGTATTCAAAAAGGAAGGCAATGATAAATATAGATGAGTATTAAATAATGTCTATTGTTTGCCAGGTCACATGAGCTAATGATTTTTAAAAATTATTACTATGTAGAGCTTACTATTCATAGAAGACTGAAATTAGAAATGAAAAAGTTGCTCATTGAATTAGCAGTGTCTGGCACATAGTAATGTAATATATAAAGAAAGCAAGACTTGGATGCCATCCAAAAGGGCTTAGTTATTTAAGTAGTTTTATTTCTAAAGTGATTTTCCAGTATAGGCATGGTGTCCAGGCTGGTTACAGTTAAATTCAGACATAAAATAAGAAAAAATAATGAAGATACTACTTTTAGACATGATAACTATAAATCCTTAGTTGTTATTCCTCATCAACTAATAAGATAAACAATGAATGGACAGACTACAAACTTTCAAATGAGCCGTACATGAAAAGGGCAGTATTACTAGCCAGAGTTAGAGGTACAATGACAGAATGGAAAAATAAAGATTGGAAGACCTGGGTTCTAGCCTTCATTATGCCACGGACTGGCTGTGTGATTTGGTAAGAGCCATTTAAGCTCTCTTAGGTACCTCATCTGTACAACATGAGGATGGGCTGGACTGGTAGGCTTCAAAGGTTCCTTGAGAGATACATGATTTTTTTGACTTGTTTAACCATCATGGTAGGAAGAGTAACATGTCCTCAACCAAAAAGATGTTCACATCCTAATCTTGGAATTGAAATATGCTGTTCTACAGCAAAGGGAAATTAAGGTTGCTATGGAAAGCCTAAAATATTTACTGTGTGGCCCTTTATAGAAAAGTTTGCTGACCCCTATTCTGGAAAAGATGCATAGGCCTCTTTACCAAATGGGTATAACTAAATTAAATCTCAGGTTCTGTCATTAAAGGAAGCATGTGTATCTTGTTACAATGTCTGACAAGGTTGCAGTTCCAATATTTGTGGAAAAATAAAGGCCAGTGGTATTTAAAAATTTTTTTTTGCTGCTGCTATACCCTCTCCTACTCTGTCCTAAGTTTTTGTCAATACCTGTCTCTCAGTCTCTCCGTTTTACATTTCATCTTTTTAATTTTGGTTTGGAATTTTGATACAGGTGGGTTCAGTGACTTATTTTGATTGTCCTAAAGCCTTTTTATTTCCAGGTTTTCTGTCATCCTTTGGGAAAATTAAGTTAAGGGATAGACAAATTCTTTTTGCAGTATACCTAAACTTAAAAAAACCCAAAACATTAAAGTAACATTATACCTCCAGAGCTGTTCACTAACATTTTAAAATGAAACAATATGAAAGGTAGGATTATTTTCGAATGCCTGAGATTTCTTTCCACAGTGAAAGTTGTTACTTTTATGTTCAGAAAGCTATTTCCATAAAAAAGAAGGTAAGTCACAAGGGTCTTTCCTTTAATCTCACTGGCCTAATTCAATTATTTTCATATAGTGCATTTTCTATCGTTACTTGATTGCAGTTTTTTAGTGGGTGTAAATATCGTTTGTTGATTTTTGTTAACTTACACTGGGGTTAGAACAATACTGAAAAATAAAATGTAACTATAAAATAATGCAGGAAAGCCAGTCAATACGGTGAAAGATAAGTGATGGTCGTTTTGGCCCCCTGCTCAATTCATTATTTTATACAACTGACTTAAGATGAACAATCCCCAATTCGCAGTGTTACGGTTGACAGAACACTGAGTTCTCACGATTACTATCTGCGTAGGCATAATGACGTAGTCAGTCACTTGTCCAGTCCTTCAGGAATAGGCATAAATTCATTAAAACCTGCCCTGTACTGTGTGTCCTCTCACCTGTTATTTACCTTTACAAATTCAAATTTTGCCTTTGCCAAGTCAGAGGCAGGCTGCGGGCTGGAAACCCCTGCAGCGGTCGGTCCCCCGAGTCGCCCGCGAGCGCGGACACTGCCTACCGGCCCCGCACTAACCTGACCAGGTCTGTCATGCAGGAGCCCACCACTACCACCGCGGCCACCTCCTCTGGATACTGCTTCCCGGGTGCCCCAAACGCTGCCATTGCTAAACTGTGAAGCCGACCAGCCTGAACGCTGACCTTTGCCCTTTGCCCGACCCGGTACCCAGAGACGCCGCTCCTACCCTCCCTGACGACGCGGGGCTTTCACAGGCCTACGCGGGTCGCCCACCCGAATGCCCGAAATAACCTCGTCCACCAACTGCCCCGGTGCGTCCAAGAATTGCCTCCCTGCAATGCCTCAGGCCACACAGCCCCGCCGATATTGCGAGAGCCGGCTTTCCTCGACCCCAGCGAGGAAGGCCCTGAGCGGGAACTTTCAGGCACCGCGGGGACGCCTTTCTGAACGCCCGGCCAGGCGTGACGCGAGGGCGCGCACGCCACACGCCTCCCAGAGGGGGCGGAACGGGGCGTCTCGGGAGCGCGCACGCATCCGGCCCGCTGTGCGCGCGCAAGTCGGTGCCTTGGTCGGGGGCGCGCTCGGGTAACCTGTACCCCACGTAGTCGCCGGTTACCGATCGGACTAAGTTCCAGGTACCTGGACTGGGGCTGGTGCGGGGAGGCTGGATCCCGAATCGCACAGGTGGCTCAGAGAATCATGGTTTGAAATGCCCAATGGGTTCGCCTCTTCCTCTGGAGAAGGCCCCCATTTCAAAGATGCCCTGCTCATCCTCATCACGCTAGTCCCCTCAAGAACGAGCCCCCAAGGCCAGGGACGTCTTTCTCCTCATCTGGCTCACCCTTTGGTCCCTGATTAAGCCCTCAGGATTAATCCCTCTTTTCTGCTTGATAAGGGGATCATACAATTTAGGAGAAGGGAGAGTGTCCCCTTTCAGATGTTCCCGGGCGGGGGTGTGTGTGATTATTTTTGGGTCTGAACCGATTTGCTTTTCCTGCTGTTGTCCCTTGGAGAAATTGCGTCCCCTGTGTAACTTCCCTCGTGCGCGGTATGACGTTGACGTGACGCAGCAGGAGGCCACCCCTTTCCGTTCCGTGACGTCAACCGGGCACATGTTTCCGTGTTTGTCATCCTATCCTAATTGCGAGAGCCTGGACAGTGCTTCAGACGTCTTTGTTTTCCCCAGGCAGCCCACTGAAAGACCGTATTTGACTTTATTTTTGGGCAACAGACCTTTTTAAAATTGTATTTTTGCATTTTCCTTCTGTAGTACGTCAGAAACCAGGAAATACAAATTGCAGAACTGGCATTCAAGACAGGCTAGCCGCCCCCAATTTCTGCTTATTGGGATGTATCACAGGGCTGCCATGTCTAAAAGTTGTTACTGGATACCCTCCTCATTTTGTGTCCCTCTTCACCGCACCAGTGGATCATCATCTTTGGCTATGCAGTGATCTCTGATTCTGAAGTCAGTATTCAGTATTTTCCCCACTTTGTCAGAAAAGTCACATCTCTATGATTGAAACATTTAACGCAGCATGAGATCTTGGACTGTGAAAAGATAGCATTATGGCTGTTCTGAAAATAAAGACATCAATTCATTCCCTCCGGTGTCATTACAGAATTGTGACGGTTGCTGAATTCAAATAGGTTGTTGTCACCTTTAGTATGGTTTGCCTTCTGGGGCAGCTAGTGAATCATTCAGACCAGCATAAGCAGTAGCTCAGCAGTAGCTCAGCAGTAGTCTAGCTTATTTCTAATTGTGAAGCAATCATTCGTTTAAAATCATAGCTCTGTCTTCATTTTGCATGGTGTATGCTAAAAAAATCACCTTGATGCTTTTCTCTTCAGTAACTAAAATAAATAATGTTTACTTGAGAGGGAGATAAGAATAGTGGACTTTTAAGAGAGATCTGGATTTAAATTTTTAGCTTTCTTACCTGTAAAATAGGAACAATTCACCAAGGGACAGAGTTGTTGGAAGAAAATGATATAGGGAGGGATGAGTAATATGGAGCTGATAGTAGATATATATTGAGAATGTGTTGGTTCTGGTTCCTTTTTTTTTTTTTTTGGAAATGAGAGGTAAAATAATAGTAGCTACTGTGGGAAGAAACATCAAAGAATAATTTCTAAATGGGAAGTCCTTTTGCTTTTTTGTGAAATGAGTATTAGTGTTTTCATATGATCTAGATAAGTATCCCTTCAGGAACTGTGACAGCAATGGACAGAAATAAGAGTAGGAAAAAAAACCATCTTCAAAACAATAATATGGCATAATATAGTATTCCAAAGAAACTAAAAATTATCTGTATCACTTGCAAAATGGGAATTAAAATATCTGCCTTATTGCCCCGGTTGTGAAGAGCAACTGCAATGGAAGCCATAATTCCCAGCCCTTTTTAATTTTTATTTTGAGACAAAGTCTTGCTGAGTCACTCAGTTTCCCTGGCTGGGCTTGAATTTAAGATCCTCCTGCCTCAGTCTTCCAGGGTGCTGGAATTATAGGCATGTGCCACTGTGCCTGGCTGCACATGATTTTTACGACTGATAGTACAGTATATGAAATGTTTATTCTTACCTTGTGATGATATATTAGAGTGGTGGGGGAAGTCATCTGCTGAAGGACCAGAAGAGGAGCTTGCTTTATATTTGCCAAAAGGATGATTTGGGAGCTAGAGTGTAAAGCATTTACCGCTGCAAAGGTACTCCTGGGTGTCATCACTATATACTATCAAATGTTAATATTTTTTGAACAGTCATTGCAGTCCTTCCCTTTGTTACTGTCTGAAATGATTAATTAAAACAAGTACTAGTTTTCCACATTTGTTTTAGCAGGGACCTGTAAGTTGTCCTGTGGTATAACAACTGAAAACTAGAACCAGGCGCTTAGTTATTTGCAATTCTAAGTGCCTTAATTTGTTTTTTTTTTTTTGGTACCGGGGATCGAAACCACTGAGCTAAATCACCGGGCCTGCCTTAATTTGTTTTTGATGTGGGATTGTCCTTTCAGATTGAGGAGGAAAATGGTAATTTGAATCGACTTACTCACCTCTAAAATTGGAGACTTTCATTTAGAAATCTATTAAGAAGAATTCATGGACTTCCTCCAGCCCCATGAGTTTCCAAGTAATTTAGATATGACTTGCTGGTTTTGCTTTGTGTTTTCAAGTAAAAAGATTTCCTAGTGCCTTAAATTCAAAGACTAAGGGATCCATGTTACTCTATTTGTTGTTTAATATTTGGATAGGTCTGTATTTTCAAGTTAGGTAGATTTTTGCCACATGCTACATTTATTCCCCTATCAATTTTGTTTGAGGCCATATATTTTCTCAGAGGCCATATATTTTCTCAATCCATAAATATTTCTCTAGCTTTTGTGCCCTTGTTCATTTATTAAAAAATGTTATTGAATGCTTATTGTATGTCAGATACTTTTGTTAAAGAAGAGAGATTCAAGATATATTCCCTACAGGAGAGAGCTCACATAAGCAGTTAGTTATACTCTAGAGAGACCTCTTTTGAGGGGGGTACATCAGCAGCAAGTAATTTCTAGTAACAATTACAAGCAGGCTTTGCTTGTTCTTGAGTTTTCTATATTATCATGAAGTTCTTAGTCCTTGTGGGACACATGAGGGATTCCTAACCCAGTGGTGTATTTTGTAGGTCAGAGGAAGAGCATTAGTGAAGGCCTCTTGATTTCAACCAAAGTAGAAGAACCAGTTGTAAGATAGAACAGCTTTATTTATTTTTTGTTTCATTTTTTATTACTATTATTTTTTTCTTTTTAAGTCAGGAACTTCCTAAGTTGACCAGGGTGCCCTTTATAAACTTTTATCATCATTCTTTCCTTTTGTTTTTAGTGGTGACTTGCAAGTCAAGTCGAAATGTCCCCAGAAGTGGCCTTGAACAGAATTTCTCCCATGCTCTCCCCATTCATATCTAGTGTGGTCCGGAATGGGAAAGTGGGACTGGATGCTACAAATTGTTTGAGGATAACGGACTTGAAATCTGGGTATGTATAAGAACTAATTCAGTGCTTGAACCAGAAACAATTCAACCTTTATCTAACAATAAATCTCTCATACTAGACTTATAAAAAATTGTATCCCACAGAAATTGTTCAGGTCATGATCTTCTCACATGGTGATTCAGTGATATATATATATATATATATATATATAATTTTTGTGTGTGTGTGGGCTGGGATTGAACCCAGTACTTCATGCATACTAAATAAGTGATCTACCACTAAGCCACAACCCCAGCCCGAGTCCATTTGCTTTAGTTAGTTCTTGACATTTTATATTTCATGTTATTTTGTCTTGCAGGCTATTACTTTATGGCCAGAATGTTCATTCTGTTTCTGGCTTATCTCTTTGTGAACAGTGTGCCATGTGGATTTTACCAAATGGGTTTTTCATTGATTGGCTTGCTTTCTTGTTTACTGCAGTCCACAATACATGATAAGAATTCAGTTTGATATTCTGCATCTGACATCACTCGATAATTTCTCTTAATATGAAAATTATAATAGCTAGCCAAAATGAGTCATTCTCACAATGAGGTAGAAACACCAAGATCTTATACCTAGAAATGATGCATTAAAAAACACATCTTATTTTGAAATAAAATTGGATTCACAGAAAAGCTAGAAAAGTACAATAGTAAATCAACATTCTTTCAATATTATCTACAGGTCCTATTTGAGTATTGCTGGTTTTCCCTTTCATGTCCTTCTTTTGATTCAAGATCCAGTGCAGATATAAGTTACATTTAATTGTCATGTCTCCTTAGTCTGCCTAGTCTGTGACAATTCCTTAGTTTCTTTGTCCTTAGTGACTTTGACACTGTTTAAGAGCATTTTGTAAAGTGTCCCTCCATATGGGTTTGTCTAATATTTTCCTTTCCTTAGAGTGAGAAATGCATTTTTCTCCCATGAAAACTTTAGATCTTTGCGCATCCGGTGAGGGAATACATGATGTTTCTATGCCTTTTTACCAGTATGTTAACTTTGATCACTTGGTTAAGATTGTATGAACCAGGTGTTTTTCCATAGTAAAGTTATCTGATTTTTCCTTTGTAATTAGGGTCTTGTGGAGCAATGCCTCAAGACTATGCTTTTGTCCATTTTCTCAACATACTTTTGTCCATTAATTTTAAAGTCCACTGACAGCTCCTGTCTGCACTTTCTACTCTGGGGCTTGTCTAAGACTGATTTTCTGTTTCCTTCATTTCTTCCACATATTTTAATTTGTATCCTATTATAAGGAAGCATTGTCTTTTCCCCCTCAATTATTTACTTAGTAAATAAATACTCAAGTCATTTGTTTATGTCAATATGAACTTTTAGGTATTCATTTTATTCTATGGGTTATAATTCAAGAACAGACAGTCCCTGGCTTACAACGGCTCAACTTATGATTTTTTGACTTCAAGATGATGCGAAAGTCATACATAGTCAGTAGAAACTGTACTTGAATGTTGAACTTTGACCTTTTTTCGGGCCAGTGACATCTGGCCTGATCCTCTCAGTGCTGGGCAGTGGCCAGTCATGAGGGGAAACCACTGATACACTACAGTCAGTGTACTGTGTTGCTAAACCCTGGTGCTCGGTAGCTTAGGTATATTCAAGGCACTTTCAATCTATGATATTTTCAATTTCTGAGGGGTTTATGGGGATGTAACCCCATTGTAAGTCTAAGAGTAGCTGTACTGTCATCATTTTTTTGTTGTTGCCCAGTTGTTCTATCTTTTGCCGTTGGAGCTCTATCAAGTGGCTTTTGTGACTCTTTGACATATTCCCATCATTGTTTCTTCCTGGAAGTACTGTGTTCTTGGTATTCTTTTTAGTTTTCCTTGTTGGCCTCTTTTTCCTTCTATAAATCTTTCTATCTTTTGACTAAGTGGAACGAACACTTGGATACAGGGTAGACATTTATGTTCTTCAGTAGTAAGATAAACAAGACTAAAACACTTTGGAATAGTAAGGTGCTTTTTACAAGATCTGGCATTGTTTTCAATTTCATTAATCAAATACTTGTATCCATTTACTCTTTGTTAGTCATTTTGCTAGTGGTAGGGATACATTGATCCTTTTTAATTTTTATGGTAGTGGGGATTTTTTTTACGGTACTGGGGATTCACGCTGAGCTATATCGTCAGTTTTCATTTAGTTTTTAAATTTTGAGATAGGGTTTTACTAAATTACTGTGTTGGGAGCTGGGGATTTAGCTCAGAAGAACTGTGCCTGCCTTGCAAGCGCAAGGTCCTAAGTTTGATCCTCAGTACAGGAAAAAAAAAAAAATTGCTGAGTTGTCTAGATTGGGCTTGAATTTGTGATCCTCCTGTCTTAGCCATCCAGAGTGCTGGGATTATAGACATGAGCCACCGTGCCCATTTGTTGAGGGAAAAGAAGGTGGTATAACATAAGCTAAGATTAATAATATCAAAAGAATGAAAAGTGAGATAAGGGAATTGGAAGAAGAGGAAGGGGAAGGGAAGGGGATTAAAAAAGAAACAAGTTATGGTAAGTACATGTAACCACTCTCCAAGATGCTGTGAACTGCATGAACTGCAAACATGTACTAATAAAATTAAAAAATTAAAAAGAAAAGACTATGGTAGAAAACTCTGGGGGCGTTGTTAGAAGGTAATTAACTTGTTTTTTCTGTTTTGATTATAAAAGTTAACTATACATGTTAGGGGCTTTAAAAACTATCCTTAGAATAGTCAGGGATTGGAAATTGACCTTTGAATTTTTTTTTACTGGCTTAGAGTTTTGTGCCAGGTACTCAACCAACAGGCCAGGTGCTTAGACAGGGTTTCCAGCTGGTAAGTGGTGCTAGGAAGTAGGGGTTGTGAATTGGAGATCGTGGTTAGGATTCACTCAGTCTGGATTGCCCAGGTTGTTATAGACAAGCTAGATACAGATTGGGGCCTCCTGAATTACAAAGAACTTTTAGATAAACTGCCTCTGATTGAAGTCATTGGGGTCAGATCACAAGAAGGTATTTTCTAGTGGTTCTTAGTGTAGAAAGTAGATGGATAGACTTTATTTGCTGTGTTCATTTCTTGTCATTTGTTGCCTTGACTTTGGATTTATCTTTCTGGGACCTTTAAATCAGTTAATGTTTCTTCTAGGTCTGAGAATAAAGAGATTTTCAAATGGACTTAGGGCATTTCAGTTTCTTTTCTGATTTTCCTTTTTAAATTTTTATTTCTTCTCTGTGCTCATCTCTTTTTTGACTATGTTTTTGAAGATTTAAAACTGTTGGCCTTCAAATGAATAGCTTAATGAGAATACACCTAATTCTGTTCTCTTCCTTTCTGCCCCATCATATCTTGCGTCTTACTGCTTAGATCACACTCATTAAGAATTTTCTCCTTTTATAGGAAGGGGGTGAGCTTGGAGAAGCAAAGGCACCTCAGGTGTGGAGTGAGACTGCTATATTATGTATAGCCAGAAGTGGCTAGAATTTTCTCACTGGATCTCAGTTTCTTTATTTATAAAATGAGCAACCAGATTAGATGAATAAGGTTTTCCAGGCCCCAAATCCTGTGAAAACAGCTCAAAAGTCCATCAACTTATGAATGGACAAACAAGTGTTATGGAAAAATAGACTATAAATTCTTATGGAAAAATAAATTCTTATGGAAAAATAGACTATAAATTCAGCCATAAAAAGGAACGAAGTGCTAATCATACTCCAGCAGGGATGAATCTCAAAAACATTGTGCCACATGAAAGCTACAAAACATCATGTATTGTATGATTCCGTTTCTGTTAAATGTCCAGAATAGGCCAGTCCATGGATGTTGAAAGTAAATTAGGGGTTGGCAGGGGCTGGGGGAATAAGAAGCGCCTACAAATGGGTATGGGGTCTCTTTTTGGGCATGACAAAAATTTTCTAAATTTAGATAGTGGTGATGGTAGCACAACTGTGAATATATTAATACCACTGAATTGTACACTTCAGGGTAAATTTTATTGCATGTGAATTATATCTTTGTAAAGTTGTCGTTTAAAATAAAGAAACTTGTGAACCAGGGGTGTTTACTGGCTTGAATAGTTAGGGTACAGAACTAAGCTTTTCCTCTTTAGCTTATCCCAGCATTGCTTTAACAGTGTTGAAGACCTGATGGGACTGATGCCCAGTAGACCGATGGCTGCTTTATTTTATTTTAAAATAAATTTTATTTTAATTTTATCCCATTCCTCCCTCAAGCCCCCTCCCCTCCCCATGTACAAAAGCTTGCTTTATGTTAGATGATGTAAACCTGAACTTCCTTCTTTAATTAGTGTTCTGAGAGACCAGTTAAAGCCACGTTGCTTCTTTTCTGCAGATTTCCTTTTGGGTGTTCTCAAATTCCTCAGTGTTTAGTTGAATGTCTTAAGTGCAAATAGTAGACCTGATGAAAAACTTGAAATAAACCCACTGGTCCTGGCCCGGTCTGGATCAGTTCTGCCTAAAAAAATATTTGAAATCACATTTAATGACATTTAGTATTATGCAGTCAGCTTTTCATAATTACAAAATAACAAATAATTAACTTAAAAAGAGGAAAGGTTTAATACATGGCTTTTTGAAGGACTTTTAACATTAAACTATACCAAGTATTTATGGAATTTACTTTTTTTAGCTTTAGAAAACAAAAATGCCTTGATCTGCATTAACAGAGTTGCTCTGTAGAAAATCATGTGAAAAGCCGTAGTCCAGAGCATTGTTGCTATCTTATTTTGCTTTTGGAAATTAGTTGTACATGCTCATGAGATTTGCTGTGCTATTTCCATACTTGCATATAATATGCATTGGTCCTATCCGTCTATCCTTCTTCCGCCCTTACTCCCGCTTTCCTTGCACCCTTCTCAGTTCCTAGTAATAATTCTTTTACTTTCTGGTTGACTTTTTGTTTGTTTGTTTCTACATATGAGAGAGAACATGAGATACCTGTCTTTCTGTGGCTTATTTTGCTCATTAATACAAGATCCTGCGGCTCCATCTGTTTGCTGCA